CGGAAGCCAGCGGAAGCTTGGCGGGAGCCGGCGGAAGCAGTGGATCCCCCAAGAGATGACAACATTTTTGGATTCAAGTTTCCCGGAATCGGCCACGTGAGAAAGGGCCCTTCGCCAGGGTGACTTTTGGTGCGGGCTCACAGGGGTTCTCCAGATCGCTGAGCGCGATGCGGCAGTGGTTGCTTGCGCGCTTGGATTTGGCCACCTTGCGCCCCCCGAAACCGCACACTAAAGGTCACTTCTGCCTAGGGCCACTCTTGCGTGTAGCCGAAACGGGTTCGTCTGCGCCGACATTCGCGCGTAAGTTGCCCGCGTAAGGTCGCGCGTAAGCTTCCCCATTCCCATGGCAGCGGGTCGCGCTGGCGGCCCGCGTGAGCGAAGGCGTAAAGTCTCCACGCCATCTCGTGTAAGACCCGTTTGTTTTCGTCGCCCACATTGGGTTAGAGGCTTTAGATTGAGGCGCATTCGCTGCTTCTCGGCTTATGATGTTCCAACTTACTGTAGCCTCGATGGCCAGAAAGAATTTCGAGCACAAAGGAAATACCGAAACTGGGGGGGGTTCACGTGTCAGGCCCTGGGAGGACATACTCGCTCGACATTGCTTCTACATCTTTCTGAGGACTCGAACTTATTTCTGGGATGTGGTGCTTCTGCGCGATGGTAGCGACATAGTTCTCGGCGGCTTTCCAGTCTCGGGGTGCCTTCAGCAGCTGCGCCTCGCCGCGGGCGTTCCAGGGGGTGCCCAGATCCTTTCGAACGGCCGCCGCAGAGCCGAGTCATCAGCCGAAAGCCCTCTCTGGAGATTTTGTTGCTCCTCCTCCTCCTCCTCCCCCTCCGCAGAAAACGACTCATAGGATAAAGAACCGGTCCCGGGGAGTGGGTCGAGAGCTCTGGGGTTCGACGTGAAATCATGACGTCGGGGGTCTGTCTGCACCTTCGTGGCCTGGATTCGGGGGCGCGATCCCGCGGATGCGCGGGAGGCAGTTTTCCGATCGATTTTGGCAAGTCTGGTTGCATGGAGGGGCAGGGGCAGGGGGCGCGGCGAGGCCCGAGAGGAAAACTAGACTTCACGCAAGTCGGAACACTCTTGCACGCCTTTTCGGCCCAGCGCTCTCTAAAAAGGCGGCAGACGAGGGGGATGGGGGGACATGCCGTGCAAGTAGACTTGCCCGAGTCCAAACGAAGCACAGCTTCTGGTCGTCGCACGGCTGCCTTCCGCGCGGAGCCGCGGAGTCGCGGCCCGGGGCCCCGGCCGACGAGGCCGCGGATACGTTTGGGGGGCGCGTGGTGGGGGGCCATAGCATACATGGGGGGACAGCGAGGGCGGCCGAAAAGGGGCCCTTGAGATGGCCCCCGCAGGGGCCCTTTCTTTCGGGCCCAGAAAAAAGGCTTTGAGGGCTCGAAATGAGCACCTTTCCCCCCCCTTTCATTTGTCTCGGGCCGGGCGAAAGGGGGGGATTGTGAAAGGGGGGGTTACGAAATCTGCTGCATGCAGCTGGTTTCGGCCTCACCGAGGGGTCCATTCCTCGATACATGGCCGCCTCCCGGAGCCGGGAGGCGCCGGGAAAATCAGCTACGCGAGCTGATTCTCGAACCCCCATTTTTGCTATCCCCCCCTTTCACCCGACCCGATTCTCGCTCCCCAATAATTGCGCAATTCGCGCTCGATGCGTTTTTGGGGCTCGCCCGCCCGCGAGGCTCCGCTTCTGCGCCGGCGGCGGGGAGGGCGCGAAGGGGCGCAGGTCGGAGGAAGGCCCGCCGGCCCGGAGGTGACGTCGGGCGTGCCCCCCTACAGGAGGACTGCGGGTGGAGGCGTTGGTTATAAGGAATGTGCCCTGCTTTCCCTCCTCCTCCTCCTCCTCCTCCTGCTTTCCTCCTGCTCCTCCTCCTCCTCCTCCTCCTCCTCCTCCTCCTCCTCCTCCTCCTCCTCCTCCTCCTCGTCTTCCTCCCCCCTGCTTTCCCTCTGCTTCTGCCCGTTGCCTCCCTCCCTTTCCGTTCCTCCCGCTCCCTGCCTGGTGTTTCCGCCCGGCCCGTCTTCTGCCTGCCCGCCCGCCCCGCCGGCCCTGGCCTCCCGCCTGGGCGTTCGTCGTCGTCTGCCTGCTTCTCCCCTCCTCGTCCCCTTCCGCCGGACCGCGTAGCCTACCCGGAACCAGCGTGGCGGCTTCAGACCCTGGAGGATTCCTGATTTGATGGGGCGGCCGTGGTATCAGTGGCCGGTCCACGATCGGAGTTCCACCGACATCCAGACTCGGGGTTCCTTACCCACTGCTTCCTTCTCGAATGCCCCCACCGTGTTCAGACATAGTCAAAAAAAGAGCTGCTGACGATGTTTCGACCATGTCTAGACAATTGTTGGGCATTTTGCTGACCATCTTCTTTTTGTTGTTCGTCCAAAGTCCGCCTCGAGGGGGACATGGTCGACCTCACCCCAGTGGTCCAGACCCCTGCCCCGGGGGTGGTTTTCCCTCCCGGAGCCATTCTTGATGGTCGTCCCAAATCTGCCTGTAGGGGGGGTATGCCCGACCTCATTGCAGGGGGACCTGCCGGACCTAACCCTGAGAGCATGGCGTTTCTCAGTTACTTGGGGCCGGGCGCTGTCGCCCAGCTTCGGGCGGGCCCCCGGGGCCCCTGCGGGGTTCCGTGCCAACGGGGGCCAGGCAGAGAGCCGGGTCTTGCAGGGTCCTGCAAAGCTCAAGTCGGGCCTGTCCCTCTACAGGATGGGCATTCAAAAATAGGAGAAAATAGTCTGGGGACGATCTTTGAGTAGTTCGTTGACTATTCGGTTATATTGTTCGGGTATTTCTGATCTGTCGTTGAAAATCCGCCTGTAGGGGGACATACCCGATTTCATGCAAAGCCAGGGGTGCAATGGCCCGGGCTTGGGTTAAGGATCCTGCAGGATCCTGCAGGAGCTTGCACGATCCTGCAAGGCCTGACTGACCCGGGTCTGGATGGACCCGGGTGAGTTCAGGAGGAAAAGAAACACACAGACACAATTAATCTTCGATTCCCCAGAAAATATGGGAAAATATTGGAAGTGGGGGGGAAGACAACACCCCCGAAAATATAGGAAAATATGGGGACTACTTTTATGTGTGTGTATTTATTTGTGTCCTGGGGCCCCTTCATGAGTAGGTCCCCGAACCTTCTCGGATCGAGCCGGCACGAGAAGTGTAGCAGAAAGATCGGGTCGCTCGTTCCGATGTTGTTTTTGTTGCAGTCAGATCTCAGGGGAGACAACGGCGGCCCTCGCTCGCGTGTGTCGTCCGCCCTGGACCATGTGGAGGCTTCTCGTCGCCACTGCTGGACTCACGCCGAAGAACGGGCCAAGATGGATGCCGGGAGGGGTCCGGGGGACAGATGTTTACAGGACTTGGGCTGGCTTTATGTCGGGCGTGTCCCCCTACAGGGGGAGTTTCGACGAAAAGATAAAAATACCCGAAACAGATTCCAAAAAGGCTCAAATATACGCACAAAATAGTCCCCATACTATTTTTTGAGTCTTTTTCCGATTACTTCTGGAGTCTTTTTTTTGTGTTTTGATTATTTGCATTTTTCGTCGAAAATCTCCCTGTAGAGGGACAGGCCCGACTGAAGCCTGGGCTGGCCCTCCTCCGGGCAGAGAGCTGATGGAGGACGCCTTCTCCGTGCGGGAGTGGGCCGAGGCGGACGCGGCGTGCTACGTGGTGGCCGATGGGCACGGCGGCGCCGCCTGCGCGCGCTTCGTGTGCGACCACCTCCCCGCGGCGATGACCAGCTCGTGCCTGGCCTGCCCGGGCGCCGGCGGCGGCGCGGGCGCAGAGGTCGCGCCTCTCGGTGCCGAGGGCGTCTCGGCGGCCCTGCGGGAGGCCTTCCGGAGCGTCGAGGCTGCCTGGGCCGCCGGCGCGGCGGCCAGCGGCGACACGAGCGGCGCCTGCGTGGTGGCGGCGCTGGTGCTCGGCGACCTGCTCTGGGTGGCCCACTGCGGCGACTGCCGCGCCGTGCTGGACCGCGGGGGCGACGACGCAGCGGCAGCGGCAGCGGCCCTCACGGCGGACCACGTGATCACGGCAGACATGGCCCAGGACGGTGCCGAGCACCCGGAGACCGCGCGTGTGCTGGCCTCCGGTGGCCGGTTCCTGCTCACGCCCGACGGCCGCCTTCGCGTGGGAGCAGCGGGCACCGGCGGCGGTCTGCAGGTCACGCGCAGCTTCGGCGACGCCGCGCGGTACACCGGCGTCGTGTGTGAGCCAGACGTGTGCTGCACCAGGCTGGCAGAGCAGGACTTCACTCTGATCCTGGCAACGGACGGCGTGTGGGACGTGCTGGAGCCCGCTACTGCCGTGGAGAAGGTTCGCAGCACCGTTCGACACAAGGACTACGGCGCCAAACGTCTGGTGGGCGAGGCTCTCGATGCGGGCTCCAAGGACAACACCTGTGCCATCGTTGTGTACCTGAGCGAGGTTGACTACTCCATCGCTCGGACGTCGTACGCCTGAGAGCGACACTGTCATGCAGCAGACAGGCTTCGACATAAAGCATCTGCGCAGCTCTGGTGCAAGCTATTGGCATTGCTTGGGAGGATATTGCGCAACCGCGGGACTCTGCGATGTCCCCCGCGGGGAGGAGGGTTAGGAATCGATTCGGTTGACCGTATCCCAATGCCCATTGCCTCACGGAATCCATCATGTGGGCATTGTGTTGGTGAGTTCGGCTCACAAGAGGCGAGTCGATTTCTCGTGATCTTTTGACCCCATGGGCTCCTAGGGCTGGCGCGTACGAGTGAGTGAAGAGTCCAATCGGATGCTCGTGGCCATGAGGGCACTCGCGGGCCACGCTGTGCAACTGGCGATCCGCTTACCGGATTGAGCCGAGCCCAATCCGCGATCCAAAACAATGTTGTCTTGGTTCGATTCCGCGACGATTCGGGCGCGCTCCCATCCGCGTTCTCGATCCGATCCGACATCTCGACTAGCCAGCTCGGGCCTGCCCGTTGCCACTCGTGGCCGTGGTGTGAGACTCGTGGCGTCCAGAAGGGTTCTGCAGGCCAGTCGGGCGCTCATGGCTTCAGAGTAGCCCCTCGGGCGATCATGGTTTCGGACTCGCACTGCACTGGCCGTCGGTCGTTGGGAGATAGAGTCTTCTGTACCTCCAGATCCCGACCTACTCTGGGTGCCTTCCTGCTTCAGTCCTCGCCTGCCTGCTCCGTTTCCTTCTTCTCCAGGGGGCGGGCGGAGGCCCAGTCTATTTCCAACGCTTGCCTGCCTCATGACTCTACCCGCTTTCTGTCGACCGACGGGTGGTCCTGGGCTGTCTCAGCCTCCGTCCACGCGCGCGTGCGCGCACGCCTCCGAACTCGGTCTGCTACCAGAGCTGGGTCCGAAAAGATGTTCGTACTCTGCGATTGTTTTATGAGATGCTGATGACTTTCTTGATGTCACTCGAGCTGCAGATGAGCCACAGAGCTGTCTGGCACAACAATCGAAAGGGAAGCATCATGAGCGCTAGTCTTCAGTAGCAACTCGGTCTGCTACCAGAGAACCAACAAACTATTCGTACTCTGCTAATTTTGGACATGATGATGCCTTTCTTGATGTAGCTCGAGCTGCAGATGAGCTTAGAGCTGTTCGCGCACGCGCGCACGCGCATCCTCGGCCCGGGCCGCGCGTCCGCGGAGGCCATCGGCGCCTTCAACGACATCAAAGACATCCAGCTGCTCTGCGACGACATGGACAACGACGGGAATGGCCTCGTCGACGAGTCCGAGTGGAGGCCCGCAGCCTGGCCCTGCCAGCCTCGTGATCGGTTGGGATCTTCCCTCGTGCGCTTCTCGTACCACTCTGCTGGCGTGAGGGCATTCCGCCCAGAGCGGTTCGGATCGCGCGGTGCACGCTCTGCCAGAAGCCAGGGGCACCCTCATGGCCAACTGCACGGCCCGACGAGGACATCCTCACGCGCATGCGCGCAGACGCACCCCTTTTGCCTCGGAGCGCGTGCGCGCAGCTCGTCCGCGGGCGGCCACCGATCCGAGCGCGACCTCGGGAGCAGGAGCAGGCGATGCCGATGCAGTGGGGGGGGGAGGCGACGCGAGGCGGGGGGGGGGTCGGGACGACGCGGGGGAGGGGGGGTCCAGGCCTCTGGGGAGAGCGACGGCGTGGAAAGAGCACGGCGGAGGACGTCTGGGAGGAGGGGAGGAGGAGGAGGAGGAGGAGGAGGAGGGAGGAGGAGGAGAGGAGGAGGAGGAGGAGTAGGAGGAGGAGGAGGAGGAGGAGGAGGAGGAGGAGGAGGAGGAGGAGGGGAGGAGGAAAGGAGGAGGAGGAGGAGAGAGGAGGAGGAGGAGGAGGAGGAGGAGGAGGAGGAGGAGGAGGAGGAGGAGGAGGAGGAGGAGGAGGGAGGAGGAGGAGAGGAGGAGGAGGAGGAGGCGACGAGTGGGAGGCGAGGCGAGATGGGGCGGGCCGGCAGCCGCGAGGCAGCGGCTCGAAGCCCGGGGGGGGCGGGGCAGGGAGGGCTCGCCACGGGGCGCGGCGGCGAGAGCGCCGTGCCGAGCGGCCGAGCGGCGGGGCGAGGCGAATTGTGGAGTGGCGCCCTGAGTCGCCGAGGGGGGCGGTCGGCTCGTGGGGCGAGGCGGGGGAGGGGGGGTCCAGGCCTCTGGGGAGAGCGACGGCGTGGAAGAGCGCGGCGGAGGATGTCTGGGGAGGAGGAGGAGGAGGAGGAGGAGGAGGAGGAGGAGGGAGGAGAGGAGGAAGGAGGAGGTGGGGTGAGAGGAGGAGGAGGGAGGAGAGGAGGAGGAGATGAGGAGGAGGAGGAGGAGGAGGAGGGAGGAGAGGAGGAGGAGGAGGGAGGAGGAGGAGGAGGGGGGGGCGACGGCGACGAGGGGAGGCGAGGCGGGTGGGGGCGGGCCGGCGCGTGCCGAGGGGGGAGGGAGCCGGGGAGGGAGCGTTTTTTAGGGGGCCAGACGTGAACCCTACCCCTACCCCCCACGATTTCTGAGGGGGAGGGTGGGGTTCCCTTCGTTCGGGAGCTCCCGAGCAAAGTGAGCCCCACCCTCCCCCTCAGAAATCGTGGGGGGTAGGGGTAGGGTTCGCATCTGGCCCCCTATTTTTGGCAGGCGGATCTCTCAAGCTGTCCGCCGCCTCTGGCGGTGTGCGCTGCGAGCTGGAGCACAGCAGAGCCACAGGAAGGCGCGGGCGGCAGCGGCAGGGCAGCTCCGCGCGCGTGGCAAGTGTGGACGAGCAGGAGCACAGCAGAGCCCCAGGAGAGCGAGGCACTGGCAGTGCAGCTCAGCACTGACGCCGGCGGTGGCCGGGGACCGGCGCGCGGTGGGCGAGGGCTGCTAGTAAGGCGGGCCTGTCCCTCTACAGGGGGACGATCCAAAAATAGGCAAACATAGGATATGGGGACGATCTTTTTACTATTTGTGACATCTGGCGTATCTCAGGAGCGAGAGAAGGACGTACACGTACATGAATCCACGCTGCTTTCGAGATTTCGCATTCGGCGAATATTCGTATCATGCGGCCGGTCTCGCGGGTCAAGGGGCCGTGTTCATGTACATAGCTGGGCGCGTACGTCCTTTGTGGGCTCCCTAGTATCTTGTGACTATTAGTAATTATTCGTCCAAGCTCCGCCTGAAAGGGGGACATGCCCGACCTCAGGCTGCTTTGGCTGGGCACGACTTGTGGGATCCAGAGCACAGACAGCAGGGCGCCCGAGGGGCGTGGAAAGGCTTGGCGAAGAACTGCGGGAGGACCTTGAGAGAGAGTCTCGGAAGCACCTTCTGGAGAGCTTCCGGGCACGCGTGTTGGGAGACGCTCAGGAAAGGCCTCGCGGGACCGGCTGCGACCTTGAGCAACTTGTTCCGAGGTGCTTTCACGGAAGCCAGAGCGACCTCCGGGGCTGCCCTGCGGCTCCAGCTTCTTGATCTGAGGCCCTCTTCGCTCTCTCTACGAGCTCTGCGGGAGTCGTCTTGCTTTGCCCCCGACGGCGTGAGAGAGGTGGTGCACGTGCCGCATCGCATCGACGGGGCGGCGGCCCCGCCGCGGGCCGTCCAAGGTTTGTGAGCGACGATCTACGGAGAGGAGGCAGGTTGTCAAGTCATTTCCAGATGTGTGAAACATGAGTAGAACATGCTACACGTGCAACAACATATTTTACGCATGTGTCAAACAGCTTTAAAACATTATATACACATCTTTAATCTAATACTAGGCCAGTTAGAGTGTCCACTGTCATGAGATCCACAATGTTCAAGGTGGAACGCCGCCAGCGGCCCAGGTTCGGCCGGGGCTGAGCCCTCATGCCAGTCGAAGCGACGCCGATCGCTCAAGGTGGAGGGATCCACGCGGTGCCAGAAGCCATGACCATCAGGGGCAACGATAGGGGGAGATAGGCATAGGGGGGATGCATCGACCCCCAATCGCCCATTGATCGCCGATAGGGGTCGATAGCCCCAACCTGCCCAGGAAGGTGCGGATTCACTATCTCAGGCCTATCGCCGATCTATCGGCGATGTATCGCCGATTCCAAGTCGATGCACCCCCCCTATGCCAGTCCCCACCCGATCGTTGCCCCTCAGACCATCAGAAAGAATGTCTCGAGCAGGGGCGAAGCGCTCTGGCTCGCCTACAATCAGGCCCGCCAACGCATGTTCGAAGAATTTGTCTGCGGTCTGCACGACACGCTTTTAAACACATGTCTGGTTGTGACTGTTTTGTTTTAGCACATCGGTTTTTCTGAGAGCATTGACTTTTGGTTTCGAACATGTTTAGGTTCATAGAACATGTCGTGGTAGGATTATAGGGATGCCGGGACGGTCGGTCCCTGCTCAAATTTAGAGCACCAACCCTGGGGGGTTTCACGTGACGGGCCTTGGGAGGCGATCCTCGTCCGACACTGTTTCGATCCTTGCTTGGGTGCTCGAAACTGTTTCTGGGATGTGGTCCTGGCGTACGATTCAGGAGGGAAAGGATCACACAGACACAATCAATCGTCGATTCCCCCGTACATATGGGATCATATGGGAAGTGGGGGGGGAGACAAAAGCCCCCAACATATGGGAAACTATAGGGGGGGTTGTTTTCATTGGTGTGCAGTTATCTGTGCGTCCCAGGGCCCCTCTAACGATGGGAGCAGCATAAAAGCCGCGGCGTCGTCGCGACGCGAACCTCCTGCACTTGGGGGGGGAGCGTCCTCTCCAGCCGCCGCGCCCCACTTCCCATCCCCCCGCGGGGACCGGGCAAGCTGGCTTTACGTCGGGCGTGCCCCTCTACAGGAGGAGTAGCCAAACATAGTAAAACAATTGTCTGGAGACGATTTTGTTAAAATGCCATGGTTTAGCATGTGATTGGCATCGCTCGGACGTGTGCATTTTTCCTTCGGCGAGGACCATCGAGGAGCATCCTTGATCATCTGGCGAAAAAAACCCGCGGGGCCAGGGCAAGCTAGCTCTACGTCGGGCGTGTCCCTCTGCAGGAGGAATATTCCCAGGAGGGGAAAGAACACGCAGACACAATCAATCGTCGACGTCCAGGAAAACATAGGAACATATGAGAAGTGGGGGGGAAGACGAAAACCCAGAAACTATGGGAAAATATGGGGAATCCTTCTGTTTGTGTCCATTTAGTTGTGTGTCCCAGGGCCCCTTCAGATTCAAACATAGTAAAACAATTGTCTGGAGACGATGCTGTTTAAAAATGCCATTGTTTAGCATGTGTGGCCTATGTTTTTATTTTCCTTCCCAGATCCGCCCGTCGGAGGCCACGCCCGACCTGAAGCTGGCTCTCGCAGCGCACACCCCTTCGGTGTGTGTGTGTGTGTGTGTCGGCGTAGCGACAGCCGGGAGGAGGCTGCGCCCGTCCCCACCTGGGGAGGGGGGCGGGGCGGCCTGCGGAGCTCGGGATCCCCTTGTGGTGTGGGGGGGATCGCTTTCGCCGTCCAGAGCTACAGCAGTCGCGCGGCCCTGGAAACTGGCGCAAACACAAAACACACACAGCACACAACACACACACACACAAACACAGCCACACACAAACACACACACACACAACACACACAGCACACATACACAAACACACACACACACACACACACATACACACACCACGCACACAAACACACAGCCACACACAAACACACAAACACGCACACGTTTTGATCCGCGGATCGAGAGCGCACCTCTTCCCGTCGAAGCTGAGCGGGCCGCGCGAAGCTTGCATTGACAGAGAGGGGGGGACAGAGGGAGAGGACACAACCACACACACACACACCAACACACACACACACACACGCAAACACACACACACACGCACGCACGGCCACCATTGCCTTCGGAGAAGCGGCAACCTCTCTTCTCAGGAGGCGGGCGGCGGCTGGCGCAGGCCCCAAGGGAACCATGGGTAACGACGTCTGAGCAGCCAGCTCAGTATTTGATTTCGTCGGACACGTCCCTCTACAGGAGGAATATGCAAAAGCAGTCAAACAATAGCAGGGGACGATTTTTTGTTATGTTTGAATATGTGTTGAGCGTTCTTGTGTATTGTTTGTTTCTGTTCGCCCAAGATGCGCCTGTAGGAGGACATGCCCGACCTAACATTATGAGTACTCTTCCCCACGGGCCCGGGCCTCGCACACCGCTCGCAAGCAAGATCCGGGCGATTACCACCAATGGTCGCCAGCCTGCGACAGACCCATGGAGCAGACTGCCATCGTCGTGAGATGAACTCGGCCAGGGAAGGAAGATGGTAGAGCCCCAGACTGGAGAAGCACGAAGGAAGTCGGCACGACCAGCCAGGAATTGAAGGAGTCCAGCTGCCTGCGGCAAGTCCCGCCACTTGTGCCCGCCCGGCATTCTGGGTGGCAACTGTTTGAGGGGGCACGGGAGGCCGTCACTTGTGACAATTCGTGTCTCCAGGCTTGAGAGAATCGTGCTGAGAGCAAGGATTGTGAGGATGATGGGGATCTTGATCGGGATGGTGATGGGGATGATGCCAGGAACGATAGCAGAGATGATGGTGATGGTGATGAGCACGAGGATGAGGATGATGATGAGGAGGAGGAGGAGGATGATGATGTTGATGCTGATGCTGATGCTGATGCTGATGATGGTGGTGGTGATGGTGGCAGTGATGGTAATTGTGAATATTTGTAATGGTGGTGATGGTGATAATTGGGAGGATGACGAGGAGGAGGAGGAGAAGGAACAGGAAAGCCGTCACGTTTGACACTTATTTCATTTTCACTACTTGAGGAGCCCTCAGGGAACTCGCTTGGGCAGCCTTTGAGCTGCCTTGGCCTCCTGTGAACCAGTTTGGGGGGCTTCGCTAGGGCCTCCTTGGGCCGGCCGTCTTTGGGCCGACCTGGAACTCCAAATGTTTCGGTTTGGATATCCCCACAGATGCATATCATACCTCTGTCACGTCTCGCTGGGGAACTCTGTCTACTAGCGTGGGGGTGTGAGAGTCAGTCCGCGTAGGCGACGGGCGACAGTGACGACGACGACCGCGACGATTTCAGTGACGCCCTCCTCTGTTGGCCATCTCACAGGGAAGGTGAAGGAAATATAGTGGCAGAGCGAGTTGCCATTCCTCTTGCCGCTTTCACTGCGGCAAGTCGGACAATAGCGCATGGCGTTGCCGAACCCGTGTTGTGGCGTACTACTCGCGGTGCTTGCTGGTACATAGGGTGCTTAGGCCCACGCATGATATGTCGCGGTAGCCACCTGTGTGTGAGTGTGGGTGAGTCTGAGCGTGTGTGATTTGAGTGTGAGCGAGTCTGAGTGTGGGTGTATCCGGGCACGAGTGAGCGTGAGTGTGAGTGGGTCAGAATATGAGCGAGTCTGGCCGCGAGTGGCTCTGAGTGCGGTTTGGCCTGAGTGTGGGCGAGTCTGGGAGTGAGCGAATTTCAGTTTGAGCAAACCGAATGAGTCTGAGTGTGAGCGAGCCTGCATGCGACTAGGTCAGGATATGAGTGAGTCTGACGGCGAATGAGTCTGAGTTCGGATGGGTCTGAGTTTGGGTTAGCCTGGGCGTGAGCGAACGTGCGTCCGAGTGAGCTCGGAGATTGGCGAAGTAAGTGTGAACGAGCCAGTGTATGAGTGACCCTGCGTATGGGTGAGTCTGATTGTGCTGAGTGAATACGGGTTGGGAAAAACTGACCTTCAGCAAGTATGAGGTATGAGTGTGAATTTGTGCGTCGAAATGAGAGACAAGGAAGGCGCGAGTGAGCGAGTGAGTGAGTGAATGAGGGCACAAGCGCAAAACCAGCGGGCAGCAGCGAGGACACCGCTCAAAACGCTCCGTGGGCGCAGATTCCATGAGTGTCGGAACCCGTTGCGGCTCCCCCTTTTTTTCCGGGAGTTCTGAAACCAATTGTTCGCTTGAGGCGGCCGCAAAACGTGTTTTGAAAGTTAAGAATGTTGGGCACTCAAATAGGCAAACCGCCCCCGTCAGCCCCACAATATGGGCGCGAATCCTGGAGTGTCCCCATCCCTGGCGGCTCCCGTTTGTGAGTGCTGACGCCAGCGCCTCGCCTGAAATATCCTCACACATTGTTCCGAACACGGAAAATAATGGCACCCAAGCAAGCAAACCGCCCGAGACATTCCCACAAGCTGGACGCGACGTTTGGGATGTCCCACCCTGGCGGTTCCCGCTCGGGATTGCTGAAGCCACCGCTTCGCCTGAGACATGGATACACATTGCCCCAGAAACGGAGGACAGTTGGCACCCAAACAGGCAACCCGCTTGAAACATCCCCACAATGTGGGCGCGAATCCTACAGTGTTCCGATCCCTGGCGGCTCCTCCTTCGGCGTGTTCCACGCTAGCTATGTCGCGGCGAGCAGTGGCCCAAGTGAGTCTGAGTATGAGTAGGTGTGGATACAATTGAGTTTCATTGCGACTGAGTTTGGCAGAGTCCGAGTCTGAGTTGGTTTGAGTCATATATGAGACATACCTCCTCCCACAGACCAAGCCGCCACGGCCATTTGCGCCCGCGCCGGGCAACTTTAAGAGGAAGGGGGACAACGAGGAACATGTTTCCCGTCGCCGCAACATGACACGCACACAAACCCACAAGCACGCACTGTGTGCCGTCAGCGGCGAAGGTTGACGTCAACGCGTTCGGCGACCCAGACAGAAACAAACCTACACACCTACACACACACACGCACGCACGCACGCACGCACACACACACACCTACACACCTACACACATCTACATACACACAAACACGCACACAAACACGCACACACAAACACGCACACACACACACACACACACACGCCCTCTTGCGCTATAGTGCGGTATACGCTCCCATGTGCGGATCATTCGGATGGTCGCAAGGTGGCTTGTTGTTGCACCTAGATTTGGCGTCTGTCAGGCAAGTGATGACGACCAAGTTCTTGGGCGAGAACGACGACGAAACCTTCGTGCACTCTTGCTCCATGCTGGACGACAATAAGGACAGTGTCTGCGAGTCCCGTCTTCCCTGCCAAGCGTGCCATTGTTGCTTTTGCTCTTTCCAGTCACATGCGACGACAGATGCAGAGATGATGCGGCCCCTGAGCCACGCAAAGAAGGAGCGATAAGCCACACACACACACTCACACACGCCGCGACAACATTTCGAATGGCCCTGAGACACTCTGTGCTTGTGGGCTGCTGAGCGCGGCTCCGGTTCTCCCGAGCCTCCCCCCTCTCCGTACGCTCCTGCTTGGTGCCCAGTTCGCTTCTGGAGTGCCTCCCCTTTGCTCGGCCAGCGTCTGATCTCGGGGGCGGAAGAGAGGGGGGTGATGACTAGGGGAGGTGGATATCATGGCGGGGGCCATGATATCTCCCCAGATTTCATGGCACCTCTTCTTGCTTCATGGCCCCCCTGGCCCCCCTGCTGGGCCGCGCACATGTCGCCGGTCATGATCTGCACCCCCCCTCTTGGACGCCGCCCTCTTTGCCGCCCCCGATCATCCTCTTGCGCCCGCGGACCAAAGACTGTCAGAACTCCTGCGTACGCAGTGCGTCTCCAGCTTCTCCTGGTCCTGCTCCGCCGCCGCTCCACCATTCGGGCCCAGGACACGCTGCTGCCAGGGATGGACCCAGACGTCGTGTTGCTGGCATCCGGCCGTGTCTTGTTCTTCGGTTCGGCAGGGAGGTGCAGGGAAAAACAGGCAGGGCAAACAGAAACACAGAACGACGGCCTAACGAACAGCAGCGTTTGAGGTCCAGCCAGGGCTGCCACCTGAGTGGCGCCGGACCCTGAGGCAGCTGGTGGCCACTGGAGCCTGCTGGCCGACGGCTTCCAGGGCGCAGGTCCGCAGATCCTCGGGGGAGGCGTCCAGGTTGGAGGGGAGGAGAGGAAGAGAGACGACGGGGGATGACCTTAGTGGGAACCGGAGCGGGAACCCGTAAAAGAACGGCGACGGAACCGGTAACAAAAACGACGTCGGAACCGGCAACAAAAACGGCAAAGCGGAACCGGTAAAAAACGGCCCTGTCGTTTCCAGGGCCCACTAAGGGGAGGACTACACGTAAGTCGGGCGTGTCCCGCTACAGGAGGAACATTCAAGAATAATTTGTTGGGGGCGATGTTCGAAGTATTTTGAGCTATTTGGGTGTATTGTTTGACTTTTTTGAAGTCTTCCTGGAGACTCCGCCTGCAGGGGGACATGCCCGACCTAAGACTACAGTCGACCTGCACAGTAAACGATGGCCAGCCTTCTCAGGGGTACCCTTTGCATCCTTGCCTCGGTCCGTCCTTGCCTTCGGAATGGGCGTCCAAGGCCCCTGCATCCGCATCGTGCACCCTCATGACTCAGGAGGGGGAACACACAGACACACTTCATCGTCGACCCCCAAGGAAAGTTGGGAAACTGTGGGCAGCGGTGGGGAAGACGAGCACCCAGAAAATGTGGGAAGATGTGGGCTTTGTGGGCCCTGGAAACGGCAGGGCCGTTTTTCTACCGTTTCTTACAAAATGTCCCTTGAAAATGGAAACAGCAAAAAACCGGCGACCAGAAACGGCAAAAAAACGGCCCCAGGATTGGAACCGGAGCCGGAACAGGTCACAAAACGGCGACGGAACCGGTAAAAAAACGGCGCCGAGCCCGGCAACAAAAGCGGCACAACGGAACCGGCAACAAAAACGGCCCTGTTGTGGGATGTGGGGAGTCCTGCGATTCGTGTTCCTTTCGTTGCGTGCCCTTGGGCCCCATGTGATGCTGCGGGTGTCGACTGTAGCTCAGGAGGGGAAAAAACACACAGACACAAAAAATCGTCGACTCCCAGGGAAAGATAGGAAGACATGGGAAGTGGGGGGGAAGACAAAGACCCAGAAAATAGGGGAGACTATGGGGCATCTTCTTATTTGTGTGTACTTATTTCTGTGTCCTGGGGCCCCTTTCGTAGCGGAGCGACGAGGCGGAGGGGGCCCGCGTGGCCCGCGCGCGCGCGGGCGCGGCCGTGGCCAACCGGGGCGCCGAGGAGCCGGTGCGCCGCTTTGGCCCTGCTGCGGGTGCCGCGGGCCGCGCATGACCCCCTCGAGCAGTGCGAAAAGTCACGGCGGGAGGCTATTCGCCATTTTCGGCCTCCCCCCTCCCCTCCTTCCCTTTTCCTCCCTCCCCCCTCCCCCCTTCTCCCTCCTCCCTCCCTCTCCCCAGACCCCCTCGAGCAATGAAGAAATCACGACGGGAGGTTTTTCGCCACTTTCGGCCTCTGGGGGCCCTTACCGGGCGTCGGGGCTGTCAAACAAACGACTCAGGAGGAAGAGCCGGTCCCCGGGAAGAGGTCGAAAGATCTGAGGGTCGACGGCATGAAAAGATCATGACGTCGGGGGTCGGGGCGCTCCGTCGGCGTGGCGGAGGAGTCACCGAGCAGTGGTGAAGCATCCAGGCTCGCCAGGGCGAAAGTGCCGGCCCAGTTGCCTTTCCCAGTGGGGTGCCCTCGCGCCGGCGCGGAAGAGTTTTCCATGCGTCGAAGCAGAAGCGGAAGAATGAATCTCTTGAGATCAACAGTTGCTACGGTAGGTTCGCGTCGTGTCGACCGGCGGCGACCCCGCCGCGGGCGTTCAAGGTTGAACGCCGCCAGTGGCCCAGAATCGGCCTCTATGGAACGATCGAGCGATCCACAGTCGCCGATCGTTCAAGGTTGAACGATCCACGCGGAGTCAGAAACCAACGCCGGGGTCGTCACGACACGAACCTGACGTACTAGTTTGTATCAGTGGGAGATGTTTTTCTTTTCCGCCGCGGGTGCGCCACCGCTGCGCCTTGTCGTCTTGGTGCAGGAGTCGATTCGGAGGCGACGACAAGGGCGAGTAGCCCAGGGGAGAGCAATACATCAGAGCCCCGAATCATCAGGGGTAACTCGGGTCAGGGATAACTCGGGTTCGTTTTTCGGGAATCCGAACCCGACTTACCCCGGACCCGACTTACCCCGGATAATTCGGGCGTCCAGAGCCCCGAATCATCAGGGGTAACTCGGGTCAGGGCTAACTCGGGTTCCTTTTTCGGGAATCCAAACCCGAGTTACCCCGGACCCGAGTTACCCCGGATAACTCGGGCGCCCAAATACACGTATTCGGGGGCGCCGACGATCTATGTCTTCGAAAAGGCTCCCGGGCGAGCCCGCCCCTGGGCTATTCGCCCCTATCGTCGCCGCCGATCTACGGGGGCGAAGGGGCCATCGCAAGTCTTGCAGCGCTCTCGCCTGCATTCGCCGTGGCAGGATAGATTGGCCAAACTATTGGCACGGCGGTGTAGGCCCACCAAAGATTGTTCGAAGGACCTATTGTGGTGTGCGCGAGATGGTCTCATGACATTTCTGGCCGAGATTGTCTTGCTTTAACACATCGGGCCGATGTTCTAAGAGCACTCTTTTCTGTTATGAGCACACTTCTGGATTCGAAGATAATTTCGCGGTAGGCCTATAGGAATGCTGGGACGGTCGGTCCCTGCTCAATTGCTGCAGGTGTTGCGGGCCGTTCCGTCGGCGTGGCGGATGAGGCATCGAAAACAAAAGAACCCCCGAATATATCATATCACGATGAAGACGGGGCCTCGCTGAGGTCCCCGTCTTCGCATCAGGGATCGTATATCTGGGCGGTGTGGTCTGACACATCGACAGAACACGACCCCCTTTATCCCTAGTGTTTCTAGCCCTCCTAACTTAGGTCCCCTCCCAAATGGTCAGGGGTCTTTTTTTTGGGCTGGCCAATGAGGGGCCAAGCGGGCCTCTGGCGGACCATTTGGCGCGAGGTTTTATGTTCAGGTCGGTTGGCTTTTCTGGACGTCCCCTGCGGCCAGGGTGCAGTCGCGGGGGAGTCGTTGGGTGGGTCGCGGGCGAGGACGAAGACAACAGGCTCCCAGATGCTCGCGTGTTGTGAATATCATGTGTCTCCCAAGCCCTCGATACCCGCCCTCTACCTCTTGGATCGTACCCCCCTTTGCGGGTACTCTTTCCTTCTTTGTCACGTGGACTCGGCGCAGCCCTCAACACAGGGACCACAAGCATAATGGAGAAGGGAGAGTGCGAGGAGGAAGGGAGTGGAGGAAGGAAAGGGGGGAAGGGGGCAAGAAGGAAATGGAGGACGAGAAAAGTTTAGCAAGAGGGATTCGCAAGAGGAGATGGCAAGGAAGTCACAGGCACGCGGTTCTTGATTGAAGTATGGGGGGCGGTCCCGAGCGAGATCGCGGTTCCAGAACGTCGAGGTACCGATGTATGAATATGTTGTCAGGAAGTCTCAGCCGAGAGCGCGATCCCTGAATAGATTGTAGGGAGGTCCCCAACAATGGCGCGATTATTTGATACTTTGATTGTACCTGTCAGGCGGGAACACCGCGCAAGGGGGATCAACAATGATTCTTCTTCAGAGATTAATCAACGCAACAGCGCAACAACAATCCGCACAGCGGAACCCCACTTCAGCCACGCGCCCAGGGACGGTGAATGGCCGTTTGGCCCCTGCACTTTGACATTGGTATCTTGAAGTTATATACATCTATGTTTACCAGCGTGGCCCCCAAGCAGTGAGTTAATGCACAGTGGATGTTTTGGGCTTGCAATAGTGCAAGCTGCGTGGTGTAAGCTATGCCGTGCAGGTCGTTTTGTACAAAACATGCGGTGCAAGCTTTGCCTGGTAAACTACGTGGTGCAAACTACGGGGTGCAATAGATGTGATGCCAGCTACATGGTGCAAGCTCTATGGTGCAAGCTATCTCTCGGACGCTATGTGGTGCAAGCTGTGCGGTGCAATCTGCGTGGTGCAAGTTTTGTTTTGAACGCTTTGAGGCCAACCTTGGGGGGCCAGCGGAGCCGTTTCTGTGCAGGCACCCCTGGCCGAGCTCCCCTTAAGCCGGGCGTGTCCATCTACAGGAGGAATAGTTAGAAATAGTAAGAAGATAGTATGGGGACGACTTTGTTAGTTTTGAACCATGTTTGGTTATTGTTTGAATATTTGTAACGTGTCGTCCAACATCCGCCTGTAGGAGGACATGCCCGACCTAACGCTCCCCACAGGATAGCCCCGCGTGGGCGGCCATCTGTTCGCCGGAGCCCCTGGGTCTCACGCCTCTTTCAGCCTACCCCCGCAGCGCTGGGGGAGAAGGCCCCCGCTCCTCCGGCGGTTCGCTTCTGCACGCCCTGCCTGCATGCAGGAGGAGGGGGAGGGAGGGGAGGAGGGGGGAGGGGAGGGGGAGAGGAGGGGAGAGGGAGGGGAGAAGGACGGGTGAGAAAGGGAGAGGGGAGGGGAGGAGAGGGAGGGCGGAGGGGGAAAAAGGGAGGGCGGAGGGGAGGGCGGGGGGGAGGAAAGGGAGGGCAGAGTCGGCCGCCCGCACGGGGGAACCCGGCCCCCGCAGGGCAACCACCGATCCGGCGCAAGCGTTAAGTCGTGCACGTCCTTCTGCAGGAGGGCGATCCAAGAACAGCAAAAAATAGTCCGGGGGCGATTTTTCCGATCACTGAGCGACCACATGTAAGGCGTGTTGAATGTATTTCTAAATTTCTACTCTGTCCTCCGAAAACCTCCCTGCTGGAGGACAGGCCCGACCTAACGCAAGCGCCGCCCGCGCCTCCCGCCCGCGGCAGGGAGCGGTAGGCAGCCGCCGCGGGCACGGCGGCAGGCCGTCCTGGAGGGTCGGGGGGGGGGGAGGGCTCGCGAAGGAAGCGGCAGTGGCCCGGAGCCGCGAAGCATCGCCTGTGCGCGTTCCCCAGACCCCCTCGAGCAACGAGAACATCATGACGGGAGGTTTTTCGCCATTTTCGGTCCTTGGGGGCCTTTACCGGGCCACGATACTGTCAAAAAACGACTCGGGATGACACACCAGCCGCGGGGAAAGGGTCGGGACTTCCGGGGACGCCGTCCTGAACGCCGCCCCGGGGAAAGGATCAGGACGTCGCCTGTCTGGGTCGCAAGCGTCCGAACACACAAACGTGGGGCCCGGAGCCGCGAAGGATCGCAGAGCGCATTCCCCAGACCCCTCGAGCAATGAAAAAATCACGACGGGAGGTTTTTCGCCATTTTCGGTCTCTGGGGGCCCTTCCCGGGCCACGATACCGTCAAAAAACGACTCGGGATGAAACACCGGCCCGGGGGGAAGGGTCGAGACCATTGGGGGTCGACTTCATGAAAAAATCATGACGCCGGGGGGGTGGGCCCACTGCTCGCAGAGTGCCTGCTCGCAAGCGTCCGAACACATAAACAGGTCTCCCTCTGCGATGCAAAGGGAGCTCAGAGCCCCGAATCATCAGGGGTAACTCGGGTCAGGGCTAACTCGGGCTCCTTGCTCGGGAATCCGAACCCGAGTTACCCCGGACCCGAGTTGCCCCGGATAACTCGGGCGCCCAAGGAGCGCAACACCCCCGCGGCAGCTTCAGACCACGTGCGAGCAGCTACTCATCTGCGAGTCGTGGAGCGCGCCTGTCGAAACGAAAGGAGGCGCCGTGGGAGCGGCGGGAGCGGCGCGGCGGGCGCCGACTGGGAGCGGTCGCTGACACGCTGGAGTGCAGCACCAGAGAGGCACCCCTATTCACCTG